CAGACGCATCCCACCATTGATTAGGGTTCGAATTAGCCCTAACTATTAGCTGATAATTTGCATCATTTTGTCTCCTCCCTTCTTGCTTTCACTCCTTCGATTTCAATCGGCGATTGATTTCAATCCAACACGAGGAGAAACGATACCACGGTGAATTAATCGAATAACAAGTACGTGTGTCGAATAGAGAGAGCACGCTACTACGATATTGTTCGAAAGGTAGCGCGTGGTGCTCCATCATTCAAGCCGACAAATCCCACCAGCTGTCGCGTGCGTGAATCACGCTTGCAAACGTGGCACGTTAGAACGTGACAGGTACAGGTTGGATACAGTTCGTACGCGAAAGATGCGTAAAACCGGCTTGAGTCATCATCGGCGACACGAATCGGTGGAAAAGTTTGGGAAACGCTCGCGAGGGAACGTAATTGCAGGTTGCGCTCCTCGACGAAGGGAAGGATGCACTTTGGCGACAGAGAGAATCGAGTTTGTCGACAAACTACGCGAACATCGTGAATAAAGAATCAAACTCGAGACCCTTTAAAAATCTGCTCCCCCCCCAAAAAAAAAAAAAAAAAAATGGAGCCAGCTGCAAACGAAAGTCAACTTCCTTTTTCTAAGAGTAGAACTTCTTCTTTTTCCGGTAACGTACAACGTATCGAATAGTCGGGAGATCTCGTGTGATTACTTGGACGATTTAATGCTAGAGATAGTATTAAATTATCAGCCGAGACGAAGTGTTTGGAACGACAGTTGTAAAAAGTTTTATAATGAACAATTGTACAAATGATTTTATTATCTCGACGCTCAACGATATGACTAATCTCGGACTTTCTTTCAAAGATGGACGCGGAGCATAATTGTACAAATCTATTTATTTCAATTATCATTTGAATCACAATGATTCACACTTCTCGGAATATTTTGACACGGTTGTCGCGACAGTGTCCATTTCTTCATTTATGTTAATATTTTCGTTGACCAACCAAAGTCAAATGTACACCTAACCTCTAAAAACGCGTGGAATATTCATATTGTATAACAATCATTTAATTACAAAAGCGTAGATTATTCATATTGTATAACAATCATTTAATTACAATCATTTGTAAAAACTTCCATAACGATAGGCTTCTGTAATGCATTTCTCACACGCAACTGTCGTTTCTTTCGTTCCCGACCTTGGCCATTGAATACGCTTTCGTATACAACGTCAGAGAAAATGTAGCATTCCGTTTAAAAACATTGAAGGTTCTCAAAGAACGGTATGATTAGAAGAAAATTTTACACTGCGTAAAATACAAAAAAAAAAAAGAAATGAAACGGTACAACTTTGTCCTCTTTCATTTTTCGTTGCGTCAGCATTTTCTTGGTTTTTACAAGGAGAAAGAAAAAAAAAAAAAGATACGCTGGACGGTAAATCCGTGAACACCCTGTATATAAGTGACGCCCGCCGTAAACGTGTTAATTCAGTTCTCGCGACGCCTAATTTACGGTTGCGGAAGCGTACGGTACCCGCGTGCTTCCCATGGCTACGGTTCTATCTATACACTCTGGATGCAGATGATTCTCTCTCCTGCCTTTCGAATTCCACGCCGTGATGGAAGAAGATCCGCATTTTCAGGGGATGCAACGCGTCCGATCGGTCACGTAGGAACATTTCGTTCCGACCGACGAGAAAGAGACAAAAGAGAGAAGGGACCGCCCCCCTCTCCCTCTCCCCCGTTGAACGTTGAACGTTGACTGCGGGAAACGGTGCAACGGAGAGCCCGGGATCTAGCGTGTATACGTTCAAGCGGCGGATCTTTCTCGTCCAAGGGCAAACATTTTGATCGATACAGACGGCGGTGGCACGAGGAAAACGGTGAACGCCGAGGTACGACGCAAAATGGGTACACACAGCGTGCACCCACGTAGATACACACCAATGTAACATACATCGCCGTGGAGTTAAGTCATTCGCCAGAATTAGAACGTGCTGGCAAATGATGGACGTCCGCGTTTCAAATTCTATACATACATATATATATATATATAT